CCCCCCCCCCCCCGAACTCAAATTTCCAGATGACGCCCGAGTGTTTCAGAAAATCATCAGCACGAGAATCACTTGTTATTTTGCTCATAACAGTTTTCCTTTACTGAAGTTGTTATTAACATGTTTATATAATTCATCCTTCAAAGATGTGTTGGTATGAGTAACCTTTCAAGATTATCAATATCTACCGATTTATATGGCACTATTATTCATCGTAGGAGTGAAAAATTGAAATTCCGACATTACCGAGAAATTAATACTCATGTGAGTCATGTCTAAAGGATTTAGAAGAAACGTAAATGGTATAATAACTTATGTACAGCTGGATTTCGTTGTATTTAATATTTTGTGAAATACTTAGACAGAAATCAGTCAAGATTTCACTATTTGAAACTATAGCAGTATGGCACCCAGACCCTGTTTATCAAATAGTGATAAAAATCATAAAACGTGAGGGATGTTGGTTTTTTACATTTCAAACACGCTACTAATTTAAAAAAAATATTATATACATAGTTCATATTTAACCTCATTCAGGTTTGCTATTCTTTAAATGAATTTTGATTAGAGTTTCTGAATGAGATGCCGAAACAATGTGAAAGTTGGGTATTCTTTACTTTCATGCGCAACATCTCGGCACATGGTGGTCAACTCTAAAAGGAAACACAATTACTGGTGCGAGTAAATTGTTCACTATATGTCTTGACCTCATATTTGCTGGCAAGTACATGCAATTTAGCCTTATTAGCTTGCTCCCTAAGTCATTAGTGTTAATACATGTAATGTTGACCTCAACTTGACCACCACGTATAACCCTATGTATAACACCTTGATGCTACAAATTGTTTACATCAGAAGGTACATATGTGCAGAACAGACTTGACCATCTCTAACCCTTTGATTCACATTGTGTACTGATGCGCCCTACTTAATTATTTTATTCTGTCTACCGCCAGATTATTTTACTCTCAGTCTAAAGCATATGGGCGTACGGGAAAGAAAAAATTAGGGGGGCGGAAAGAAATTTGCCCGACTTTTTCGGATTGTGCCCGACCAGTGCCAATTTTTTTTTTCCGGAACAATTAATTTTGTCGACCTTATATGCGTAATCACCATTTTAGGGGTCCAAAAACTTTTCGGACATACAAAAATTTTTCGGAATATCAAACAAATTTCCCCAAACATCACAAAATTGACATAATTTCCCGCAAAATTGACAGAATTTGTCCCATTTATTTTTATAATAAACCCAATATTGCCCGACTGTGAAGCGAATATTGCCCAACTGGCTTTGTTTGCCCAACAAACTGGGGTTATATTATTATTGCTTTGAATGGGTTAATAGTAGAATTAGCCTCCTCCGCAGGCAACTCTGTATTGTTTTGTATAATAGGTTTTATATTTGGGATTTTTCCCCCCATGTTTTGCTCTCTCCATGTCTAAAACTATTTTGCTTAAAGCTCGGCCAAAGTTTGATCATTTATAAAATGCACTTACAATACAAAACAAATAAGAGTTGAAAACCTGTTATACAAAACAATACAGAGTTGCCTGCGGAGGAGGCAAAAGTAGAATATGATTTATAACAGCAGATAACATTGAATTGTAGAAAATAAAATATAAATCGAAGAAAAATATAACATTCAAACAATTGATGTAAACAGTGTGTTTTTTCAGTCTTTTCAATATATCCACATTTATCAAATGTTCATATTTTAACATTATTTGTCTGACACTCCGGGGCTAATTAACATTACATGTAGGATAATGTATGCTGAAAAAACTGGAGGCAAACAGTTGGGGGCTAGAAAAATTCTTTAGGAGGGCCTTTACATGCTGATGTAGAATCCAATGGAATGTAGAATCCAATCCGTTCTTAATCAATACACCCACAGGTGAAGAACTTCTTGAAGAGGGTCAGAAAAAATCCATTTCAAAGGAATGTTGTCACCCAAATTGGCTTAAAAACTGCATTATGCATTTCCAGGGAGCTGGTTGCAAAAATCTCTTGGAAAATATTTCCAGGGGAGCCAATGACAAACATTTTTGGAAACTCCAGGATGTTTTGAAGGTCTTCACCCAAAATCACTACTTAAATACTGAGCACTGAAAAATATTTCGGTT